TTGAAATTCACTACATGGATGGTCTAGATTCATTATTGTAGGGAGACTCATTTTGCTCATATCTAGAGTGAAAATTGAGTTTTAGTTTTTTTTTTGAGATTGATTATTAAGATGAAGAGAAAATGTATGTAGTTGTTTAGGTCATATAAATACCACAAAAATAATTTTCTAAAAGTATGATTTCGTCATATTATAATAACATGGGTGACATGAAATGATTCCCCCCAACACACATTTCCCATTTCTATAAGGAAAATGGTTTGATAGGGCCACAACCCTATCAAAATAAGTAAAGCCTCACTTTATTACTCATCAAAAATTACAATTCTAGCATTAGAAAACCTTTACATCTTGGCTTGAACATTATGGTTGTGAAAAATAAAAAGGATTTCAAGCTCTAAAAATATAGTTAGTTTAATAAATTATCTAGATCATTCATTTTATCTTAAAAATAAGTATTTATAGATCTACAAGATCTGTACTATTTTTTGAGTTCTGAATTTCATTATAGGTGCTGAAAATTGATTTTAGAGCCATCATAAAAATTGTTTTTTTGACGAGGATCTAAAATAAAGTTTTTATTTTATTTTCATAAAGCGTAAGCATTATAAATACCATCAATCCTATTTCACAAGTATCGTTGTGCGCATTTAACGTAAATACAAGCCATTTCAACCGAGAGCACACGAAGCCCTACTCGTCTTTCCCCAAATTGAGGTTATTATGGATGATGTTATAAGAACCGCATCGTAAAATTTTGGTACTTGCTCTCACAAGCTTCCAACTCTCATACAAAGAATAAGGTTTAAAAATGGCAGGTCGGATTAGAATTGATTGATTTGACCCAGTAATTGATAGAGCCGATCCAATTCGTACTATATATTGAGAATGGACTGTTCTGTCAAGGAACCAGTTGATCCGGCCCCGACCTTTTTTCTTTAATTTATTTACTCAAAATTTCTATCTTTTATTAAAAATTTTATTTTTTTGCTCGATTATCCCAACCCGATTGCCGATCCAAATTGCCGATCTACTCGTCCATGCCCGTTTTGGAGTTAGATCTAGACCATTGTGCCATATTTTAAAACATTAAAGAGTATACTTTTTGTCCGGCCATTGAGCATTGGGCTCTCTTGGGACTTAACAATGGAGGACTTGTAAACCCGTAATGGTTAGTACCAAAAAGTCGCCTTGGTCCGAGTACTGTAGTACTGAAAACTATTAAAAAATAAAAATACAAAAAACTAGAAAATATATTCAAAATAAAATTTAACAAATCTCAACTAATTGTGTTAAAAAAGCAGCAAAAAAATATAACTTTTAAAATTGAGTTTTTGACTTGAGATATTTTAAATTTTTCATAAAAATGAGAAAATATAAAAGTACGTATTCATAGCCAAAATTAATTCCAAATTTTGCCAAAATGATAGAAAATAAAAATAAAAATATTACAAATCTATTTTTTTATTTTTGAGGATTTTCTATAATTTTTTTTTAAGATTCCCAAATTGAACCTCCAACTCGGGACAACTTGGGCTCAGCAAGGGCCCGTGCCCGAGTAACTCGCTGGACTTTGTTGAGCCCAGACTCAATCTCGTTAGACCAAAAGGCTACATGAACAAAAGGCCGGAGGGTGTTTTTTAACTAATAACAATAAGTACACATGTGTGTAATGCAAGAATTAAGGCCTCTAAAGTCCACAAAATTATTATGTTAATTGACCAAAGTGATTGTCAATTTATTATACCATGCATGCACTATCATACATGCTAGACAGTTTTCCTAAAATTATTCTGTGGATTAAGTAGAACAAATGGGGAATACAAAATAGAAACAGTTAATGGAAGGCATTGAAAATGAATAATCCGCGACATAGTCTATATAAGGTTGCATATTAAGATGCATTTAAAAAAATCCATTTTAAGAGGCTGTTTTGAAGCCGAAAAACCATCCAATCGATCATCTCGATATCGAAATGTATAAATCTAATTGAACATCTCGATATCGAAATATATAAATATGAGAAAAATCTTGAAATGAAATTTATTTGATTTAAACCATTTTTTTAGTTTAAAATTTTATAATTAAATATAAAAATAGATTTTTGGGCCATTCTAAGAAATTTTACAATAAAATTACATCTTATAATAAAATTTGGTGTTGCGCCTTAATTTGATTGTTTAGGATTTGAACATTGTGCAAACCACACCCATTCACATATTTTCTCAAATATGAAGTATTATCCACCACAGCAAAATACGAAAAGAATAAATACATAAACAAACCAAAAGACCACATAACTGCAATGCTTGCAGTTTTCATAGAAAGACAAAATAAATATTCCATCCCTCGAAGAAGAGCAACAGACGCTTGTATTTTTGCCGAATTATAAGTAAAAAAAAAAAACTTTTTTTCCTTTTGCGAAGCACAACAGAAGAGGAAATCCAACTGGTTTTTCAGCCGCTCGATCTATTTCAATCCAAAACCAGTCAACATTCGTTACACAAACAAAAATGGGAGGCTTTACAGGGCCAGCCCAACAATTTTCAGAAAAGAAAAACAAAATATTTAAAAGAACAATAAACATCGGTAAAAATCCAAAAAAAAAAGAGAAAAGAAATAATTAGATAATTGCTCTAAAAAAGCCATTCTCCATGTTACTTCACTTAAAACTCGTACTGCTCTAGAAAATCAAGGAACTCAGGAAGAGGAGCCATATTGCTGGTATCCGAATCCACAAGTAGTAGGCTCGAAGAGGGCGCGCACACCTCACCCTGGCTCCAACCCTTCTGAACCTCTTCGACTCGCTCCGCCACATTCTCCCTAAGCCTCTCAAGGGCCTCGACCCAAGAGTTCAGTTCATCTAAACCCAGGCTATCCACTTCAGCGTCCCACCAAAACCCTGACCCACCGGAATTCGGCATGTTCTTTCTATGAGCCAAGGCCGAGCTCTGTGTCGTCTCTTCTTCTAGATCTTTAACAAGTCGAAAATAGTCGTCCATCAAGGGATTGGGTCTGTTGGGGTAGTGTGTGTTGGAGGGCTCTTGGTCGCTGTGGGTTCGAACGAATCGGTGGATGATCGAGTCGATGTCCCGATCCGCAAAGGCATATGGGCGGCCTGCACGGGAAAAGGTGAGGATGGCGATGCTGGCATCGTAATGGACGCAGAGGTCCGCCGCCTTGTTGAAGAGGCGGGTTCGACGCTTGGAGAAGGTCACTTGGCGATTCTCTTTGTTTTCGATAAATTTGATATCGATCTTCTGACGACCCATCCTCTTTTTCTCTGCGTCCTTCTTAACCATGAGAGAGACAATAGAGAGAGAGAGACAATAGAGAGAGAGACTTGTAAAACAAAGAAGTTAACAGAGAGAGTGAGAGAGAAAGATATCAGATATAGAGAGAAAGAGAGGTTGGTCCTGTGCTTTTATTGATGATTCTAGTTGGCTTTGAGGCAAGAGAGAGAGAGTTAGAGAGAGAAAGAGGAGTGAGTGAGAGACTTAGAGAGAGAATGAGAGGGTCCTGTGCTTTTATTGATGATTCTAGTTGGCTTTGAGGCAAGAGAGAGTTAGAGAGAGAAAGAGGAGTGAGAGAGAGTTAGAGAGAGAAAGAGTGGGTCCTGTGCTTTTATTGATGATTCTAGTTGGCTGAGGCAAGAGAGAGTTAGAGAGAGAGTTAGAGAGAGAAAGACAGGGTCCTGTGCTTTTATTGATGATTCTATTGGCTTTGAGTCAAGAGAGGATAGAAAGAGAAAGAAGAGAGAGACAGTTAGAGTGAGAAAGAGAGAGAGAAAGTGAGGGCATGGAAAGCCGGTATTCGGTTTCTAAAACGGGCATGTAGAATATACTGAATGATACTAATTGAATATTTTATATTATTAAATTGAAAACATCTTTTGAAAAGTGGCTCTTTAAATCACGGAGTTATTCTCAATGAATGGGGTGGGCCTGCCGGAACGTCCTTCTGTTAAATGTGGGGGAGACTATGTGTTAGTTTTTCCATTGTAAGGTGCTCCTGTAAGTACACACTGTTCATTTGCCCCCTAGGTATTCTAAATTAATTGAAGGTGTTTATTTTATGTGAAAGTTACCGTTCAATACTTCAAGTTGAACGATCAAAGTAAAGTGCACATTCAAATGGTATGGAGAGATGTTATTTCAATACTGTAAATCTTTGTGATAGCTTTAAAATATATTTTCATGATGAAAATTGACAGTCCAAAAATGTATTACAAGATGCACTATTTTTTTAGTTTGAAATATATATTTTTATCTTGTTTATGTATCTTGATGTCGAGATGATTAATTTAAAATATATAGACATCAAAGCAACTGCTTGTTATGAAATTTTTGAGGTGGGATCTAATTTCATTATTGTTTAGAGCCTCAGCTTTATATAAGCTTTTTTCATATCTAAAAAGGTGTTGTACTTAAAAAAAAAAGAAAAAAAGTCCAGTGATTTATAGAATTTCAAGTTCCAAATCACATATTAACAATCAAACCTTTCGTTTGGGCTTTGGTAGCACACGTGGCAAGAAGTGAAGTTGTCCAGATCATCCATCTGAAGAAGGCACAAGCATGTATATTTCTATTTCTATGTATATGCAGGCCCACTGAAAATACGGAGAAAAAGGTTTTGGGCATAATTTTCGTTTTGTATTTATGTTGTGTCGGAGCATGAATGTACACTACAAATACTTGTGAAGTAGGCTTTATTTATATAAAGAAAAAAGTTTATATATGGTTGCAATTTTAAAATAATATAGAATTAAATATACGTCTCAAAAATCCATTTAAAAAAGTTGTTAATTGCTGAAAATCCTGTATCGACATCGAGATGTATGAATATGAAAAAAATATATATTTTAAATCCTAAAAATAATACATCTTGCAATACAATATTTAGATCATCTATTTTCAAGATTTACATATGTTTATACATCTACTTGATTTTAACCATTTTTGAAGTTTAAAATTTTATAATTAGATATAAAAATAAATTTTTAGATGATCCTAAAACAATTTTACGTCGAAAGTACATGTTATGATCTTAATTGGATTACTTAAGGTTGCAACCTTGTAAAAACCACACCCTTTTATAAATGAGAAATTTGCGTCAATATCTCCTATAAGTTGTGGAAGTTAGCAATCGTCCACTATATTGTATATTATATTGTAGGAAAAATTGAACCAGAGCAATTAACCGGACATGGGCCCAAGAGCGGCTCAACTGGGCTAACCGGTAATCGGCCGGTTCAACTATTCTAACGGACAAGTCCTCAACGATCAAAAAAATATTAAAAATAATAATATATATATATATTATAAAATATGAAAAGTATATTTAGAGAATGATTAAATAAAATACATTCAAATAAAGTTGAAAATTAATAATAATAATAAAAAGATTTTAAAGTATCGATTTGCGCCTAGAAGTATTTTTGAAATTTTAAGAAAATATGGGTAAATGTAAAAATATATATTAATAAGCAAAACAATTTCTAATCTTTGCCATAATGATAAAAAAATATATATTACAAAAAAAATCTCTTATTTTTTAGAATTTATATAAATTTTTTAAAAAGTATCCAGTCAGTAACCAAAACCGACAGAAACCTAGGTTCGGATCAAATCTAGTCGTTATCGGTTAGACTGCCCGATTTTTCCGTCAATGGTATATCATACACTAGTCTCGCTCTTTTCGTATTTTTTATTTTTCCCACAGTACCCACAGTTCGGAACTTGATATTTGGAAGCAAGGTCTTTCTGTACTTAGTGAAATACGAAGCTTTTTATTGGGAGATAAGACCAATTCGGAACTTTGAAATTCTATAAGGGCTTGTTTGGATAGGAGGAAGTTAGGAATCTTAGATATTTGAAATTCATAAAAATATATAGATTTTCAATATTAAGGATTTTTATCATGGATTCCTCAAATCTCTTGTTTGGACAAACTATACAAAATTCATGGATTATTTGCAATCACTTCTATGTCCATTGTTTGGTAACAAAACTTGATACAATTTCTCTCTCTAAAATTTTTATATATTTTCTCTCTCTAAAACTCAAAATTTGGTATAGTGTATCTATAAAAATTTTGAAATAGTTTCTTGCTTTAAAATTTGATATGGTTTGTCTCTCTAAAATTTAATATACCTTCTATCCAAGATTTAAAATTTGAAATAGTCTATCTAAAATTTTTGAGATAACTTCTCTCTCTAAAATTTTTAGGTGCTTTATTCTCTCTAAAATGTAATATAGTTTCTCTTTCTAAAATTTTAAGATGCTCTCTCTCTAAAACTTAAACCTTAAGAAAGTTCCCCTCTTCAATAATTTTGAAATAATTTATCTCTCAAAATATTTTTAAGTAGTTTATCTCTCGAAAATATGATATAGCTTTTCTCTCAAATTTTAAGATACTTTCTCTTTCTAAAAGCTAAAATTTGAGATAATTTCTTTCTAAAATTTTCGCAATAGTTTTTTTTTCAAAAAGTTTTTATGTACTTTCTCTCTCTAAAATTTGATAAAGTTACTCTCTTAAATTTTACGATGCTTTCTCTCTCTTAAACTTCCAAGTTTAAGATAGCTCTCTCTCTCTCTCTCTCTCTCTCTAAAATTTTGAAATAGTTTCTTTCTTTAAAATTTGATATAGGGTCTCTCTAAACTTTGATATACTTTCTCTATCAAAAGTTTAGAATTTAAGATACTTTATCTCTCTAAAACTCAAAATTTGAGATGGTTTATCTTGCTAAATTTTTTTTAAATAGTTTCTCGCTCTAAAAATTTCACGTACTTTCTCTATTTAAAATTTGATATAGTTTATCTCTTGAAAATTTTAATATACTTTTTCTCCCCTAAACATAAATTTTACGTTAGTTTCTCTCCAAAAAATTTGAAATAGTTTCTCTCTCTAAAAACTTTTAAGTAGTTTATCTCTCTAAAATTTTCTATAATTTCTATTTCTAAAATTTTAATATATTTTTTCCTTCTAAAATTCAAAATTTGAGATAGTTTCTTTCTAACCTCAAAATTCGAGATAGTTTCTCTCTCTAAAAACCGAGATATTTCTCTCTCTAATTTTTTTTTTTGGTTGTTTCGCTTCTAAAAGTTTAAGAATTCATTCTCTCTCTATAATTTTAAGAATACTTTCTCTCTCTAAAACTTAAGATTTGATATTATCTCATTAAATTTTTTGAGAGTTTCTATTTCTAAAAATTTTTAGGTACTCTCTAAAATTTGATATAGTTTCTCTCTCTAAAAATTAAAATATGAGATTGTTTCTCTCTTCACAATTTTTGAAATAGTTCTCTCTAAAAAATTGAGATAGTTTCTCTCTCTAAAAATTTGCATGTAATTTCTCTCTCTAAAATATGACAGTTTCTCTTTAAAATTTAAAATGTCCGATAGTTTCACTATCTAAAATTTTGAGATAGTTTATCTCTCTAAAAAAATTTGGTACTTTCTCAATCTAAAATTTTAACCTAGTTTTTCTTTCTAAAGTTTTAACATACTTTCTCTCTCTAATAGTTAAAATTTGAGATAGTTTATCTCTATAAAATTTTGAGATCGTTAATCTCTCTAACAAAATTTGGACTCTCTCTCTAAATTTTAACATACTTTCTCTCTCTAAAATTTTAACATGCTTTCTCTATCTAAAAGTTAAAATTTGAGATAGTTTCTATCTTTAAAAAATTTAGGATCATTCTCTTTCCGAAATTTTCATACCGACCAATTGCTCCCTATGTTTCGAGTCGGGGGAGCCAATGAGTGAAATCCATGGGCCTTTAAAATACAAAAAAACAAGTTTTGGTATGGAAATGAAATCATGGAAAAGTAGGTCTTATTTCCATGATTTTGATTTTTCTGATTTTAAGTATCCAAGTCATTGAACAATCTAAACGGTGGATTTTAACAATATCCAAAATATTAAAAATCCATGTCTTAAAATCCATGTACCCATACAGGCCCTAAATCACTTCCTTTTTTTAGTGAAAGACCCGATTAGATATTCAAGTTTCCAAATGGGCTACTTATATCTATATAAATACGTTCCAAATGTGGAGTTGTGTATCGAGTCACAATTTTTAAAGTAAAAGTTGATGCGGAACTTTAAGCATTGAACCATCACCTTTAATTGCTTTAGAATGCCTAGGGGACCAGTGTGCACCTACATGTGCTCATTACAATGAAAAGGCGAATACTAGCAAGAGAAGAAGGCACGCGGTTGTCTGATTCTCCCCTCATTTAAGAGAAGGGTGCTCCTGCGGGCGCACAACTGCATGCTTGTTTCCTCACAAATCTCTCTTTTCAGTGTTTTATGTGACATTATCAGCCCATTATCCATTGACAATAACTCCTTGATTTAAAGAGCTATTTTT